ACTTAATACTTACGCATAATATACATCGATTATACATGCACAATAAACGGATACTAAACGTAGAATATTCGTTAAATAGTTATCTTTTGACACAAAATTATCCCATAATTATACCATTTATGAACTAAAAATCTAGGAGTATTATACGTTGATTCATAAATTATAAACGTATATTTAACGGATAATATACGTAAAAATGTTTACTGGGAAGTTTGGTTTGATCAATAAAACTGTCACTAAAAAATTAATCATTTTTGAATTTAAAAAAATGTCAACTGTATTAGTTTTTATTCAATACAATTTTAGATTCCTACCAATACCTTAAATACTTATATAATTATATTAATTAATAATATTCCTGAAAACAACTGTACTAAAAGGTAAGTATATTATAGTTTAAGTTCAATAGAAATTAAAATAAATTAATGGAAATCGACTTAAAATTTACAAGTTACTGTAAGTAATAAAATTATAATGACGTTGATCAATATAATATATACGTTTAATATAATATCATATATTTATATGGTATTATTCGTGATCGGCGGTCAGTAGACGGGCCAAGTACTACTAGCGCTATAGTTTACTAATACACCGCTTTGGGAAGCGTTATCACGTCTCGTTTCGCAACCTGAGTAGATAACCGTGATCATCAGGCATTATTTTCACGTGTTTTTTCTTTTCTTTATAACACTACCTAATATCTATGAGTTTACACTTGACACCATGTTATGTTTCATATTATTATAACAGAAAACACATAATCGTATTAAGAACAATTTATTATAATATATTAATAATTATTAATTAATAACTGAGATACATTTTATAAGCGACACACTAAAAAAGAGTGAACAGGAAAGACATAAGTTTTTAATAATGCATTTTTAGGTTACCTACTATGGATAGCAGTGTGACCATACATAACATTAGGTACTTAGTTAAAAAACTGCTTACCTCATCAAAAAATAAAAGGCTATAAATCAAAGTTAACTGGTTATGGGCATCTATAAATGTACATAAATATCATATAAAACTATAGTGGAATACTAGTATGTATGTAGTATAATTACTAATAATATTAATACAATATATAAAATATAAATGCATTGCATTTACAGATGAAATGATATTCTTGGATTATTAAGATAAGACCTTAATAAACAAGAATTATGCATGTTTGTTGAAAATAATATAAAATAATAATACAGTCAAATATTTTAATTACCTAATTTTTTTTTTTTTTTTTTTTTTTTTAATATTATTATTATAACTATAACAGATCTATTACCTAATTTAAATATTAAAATATAATGATAAAAGATCAATCAACATTAATTTACAAAAAGTCATAGTATAATAACAATATTAACAACAATTAATTTGAAATTATCAAATAAGGGGGCACTAATTATGTCTAGGCCTAGGGCTCTAGCCTTCTTAACACCCACATGTAGAGCTTTACACAGCACGAATTAATTACATTTATTTCACAYGCTCTGAGTGATGATTGATGATAGTTATTTGTGTATAGCTGTGAGTTGAACTTATACCCACTAGTATGATTACAGTTATATTATTATATACTATACAAATATTTCACGGTGAAATACAGTGGCATACGAAAATAAGCTAATATACAAAATGAACATTTTTTAAATTTTGTCAACATTACARGGTGATTCTTTTATCAAACAACACTTATATGGTGTCTGTGTGTAAATACCACCTAACATACACCTATAACACACAAACACTACCCAAAACCACCCAACTTTGGGAGGCAATATCTTGTAAACGGATTAACGAAAAATGAAAATTCATTGAAAAATAGCCTTTTTAATTTATGAAATTTTAAGTATAGGTTGTCATTTGAAAATCAAAAATTGATAATGG